GAAAAGCAAGACATTAGTATCTCTTTACCGTTCAATTGTGCGCCCCCATTTGGAATATTGTTCTGTTATTTTTAGTTCAGTTTCTTTTACACAAGCTCAGCGTATTTCTAATGTTCAGAATAAGTTTATTAGGTTTCTTAGTCATACTTGTCCCAATTATAATGTCTCTCTTATGTCTCTTGAAAATCGTAGAATTATTTTTGACATGGTTTTTTTATATATATATATAAGTCTTTAAATTCCATTTATGATTGTCCTCTTGTTTCTATGTTCAGTTTAAACATCCCGACTCGTACCCGCAGTAAGTGTTTACTTCATGTTCCTTACGGTCATGTTGATTGCACAAAACGGGGTATTTTTCAACGTTTACCGAACGAATTTAATAGACTACTTGATACTTGTTTTAATATTGATATTTTTTATGATAGTCTTAATATTTTTAAAAGCAAAATAATTAAATTTGTGTAAGTGTATTTTAGTTTATTTCAGTTTTGAAGTTTATAATATATATTTATATATGTTTTAGTTGAACCTGTTAGTGGCGGTTTTCATCGCTGTTGGTTTTATACTGAATAAAATAAAATAAAATAAATAAAACGATTAGTACAATGTAGTACCAGTAAATGACTTGTGGTCGAGTTGACTTGTGGTCGAGTTGATTTGTGGCCGAGATGACTTGTGGCCAAGTTGACTTGTGGCCGAGTTGACTTGTGGCTGAGTTGACTGTGGCCGAGTTGACTTGTGGCCGAGTTGGATCAAATTCCAGAATTATACCCTGACGACAACAAACTAGTGTAGGCCTAAGTACAGTAGGACGTACTAGGCCTACAGCAGGTAGGCCTAGGCTTTTGTTGTAAAAGTTTAAGTGCATGTACAGGATGCGCCATAGGCCTATATTTAAAAAAAATACATTTTGTTAATTATTATTGGTTGGCCTGAGACGGACCTAGGCAGGCAGGCCAGCTTTACCGTCGGAAGTCCTGGGATTCGACGACGATGACGTCCGTGCACGTTTACAAACGCCATTGATTAGAATGAAAATAGACGCGCTGAATTTCGTTTTTTTTTTTCATGAAAGATAGAATTTATTGAAAATTTATCTAATAAAAACAAGAATAATATTGTAGAAATTGTATTTCTAAAGATGCATATAATTCATATTTCATTTTGTAGACAATAAATATTCAGCAAGATAATACTAAAAACGATTAATTCTGAAATGTGCATCTCAGCTATTATTAATCAGTAGGCTATGTATTATGTTATAAAAATTTCGAATTATGCTATATTTTGGGCTCGGATTTAATTTAACGATAGCCCTATCAGTAATGACAGTATTTGTGCTTTTTTTTAGCCATGTAGTAAAATAGTACTTTTTATGAGAGTCGAGAAGAAGTAGTAGAATAATAAACGTGTTGAGTATATTGATTATGCGATGAGGTTTTTTTTATATCTTTCGGTGTGATTTAAACATGCCAATTCTCAGAAAATATTTTCTAATTTATTATATTACCACTTTTTCATTACATAGATCTTTTTCAAAACATAAGCCAAACTGCTTTTATAACATTATTATAGACCCATTAAACACAAAAACTGCTCTGGCTTCGGGGGCTTTGCCCCGACCCCACTGTGGCCCCAGAACCCCACAAGGGGTGGCGCCAGCGGGGTGGGGGGACAGGGCCCCCGTCGGGGAGAAAAAGCACAATTCGTCGGGGAGAAAAAAAAATTATATGTATTTTTTTACATTAGTAGACTTTAATATCGGTTTAATAAGCCTGGTGCCACCTCTGGACCCCACGCCCAGAGAACTGCCCTTGAAATGACCTGGCTACGGGCCTGAATAATAATAATATTAATTCAATAATAAAAGGGGGAAACACAATATAAAAGCAGTAAACATTCAAATAAATACAACTTTAAAATACAGACAAAATGAGGCATCTAAACAATTCTTCATGGATGTGTACACAATTTTTTTTAAAATGCGATTAAACATTAAGCGTGAAAAAGAGCCCATGTCAATATTTGATGCCTACAGACGATCGGGCCAATTTCACGACAATTTGAAATTATGCAACTAGGCCCGCGCCCGGCGGTGCTTGCTCTTGGCATTGAATTTGCTACTTTGCAGTTTGGTCTATGCCTATTGCTGTTTTGGTACTTATTGCCGTTTTGGTTTATTGCCGTTTTGGTCATTGCTGTTTTGACCTGCTACCCTAAAATTAATTCAAATTCGGCTTAGATGTAGGCCAAAGCCTGGAGAGGAGAGAAATTCTATAAAGGGCAGGGGCCGATCAAGCAGAGATGTCCGAAAAGGGGAAGGGGCGATCGAGAGACAGCACTACCACAGGGGGTCAAGGGGAATTTTTTTTTATTTCTAGACCCCTCAATCCACCCTGTTTTTAAAATTTTGGTCCTGTGTGGAAAATAGACCATGTGCACAGTAAAAAATGCAGTACACTACACGCTTCCGAATAGTAGGGGACTGTCTGCCGGTTGTAATAAATTACTATTCCTTGCCTTACTTTAACATATTTAATACATAGAACATTCTAGAATAACATTTAATTCATCAAAGAAACAGTGTAAACCACATTGGTAATTATAGGAACACATGACACAATGTAGAATCCAAGAGTAATATTTTGGAAGTTTCTGGAATCTTGGGTACTTTAGAGGCAAATAAGCCTAATTGGTTAATGATGTAAGGTGACCAATGAGGAACTTAGGCTATATAGAATGCTCTGGAGTTGTACAGCTAGGGTATTAAGCTGACAGTTTTATATTTCTGGGGCTCTTTTTGAAACACAAGTTTATGTGAAAGTTATTGTATCATTTTGAGACCGGATTCTTGTTGGAGTTTATACAGAATAAAAGTTTATTTGAGAGTTGTGTTTTAAATTTTATGTCAAAAAGGGATTCCTAGTCATTTCTATACCGCTCGGAAATACGTCAAGTAGGAATTCATGACACGGTGTACTGCCCAATTCACCACCAGAAAGACACCACTGCACAAATAAGTCCCAGGTATCCATGGTGATTGGTGAAGTAATGCAATCCAGACAATTATTGTCCATCATCTTTGTGCATTGAAATATGACGACAATAATGTCGGCAAAGCCCACTTATAACTCGGGCTACAGGCTTTAGTTGACCTCCCTTGCCACTGTAAATGGTCCAAGCAAAAAAATCACACTTAATTAAAAATCACCTTATAGTATTGCAAGTTAGTGCCTCTCACTTAATCATTGAGGGGGGGCCCCCCACCCACTTAACCTTCGTGCCCCCTCAGCCCCCACTATTTCAAGAATCCAGATATACCACTACATACATTCATTTTATATCTTCTTGTGTATTAAGTCTTTAATAAAATAATACCAATGATTATGTTTTTTCAAAAAAATACTCTATAAGATTTATTGAAATTTGTATTAACAATCACATTTAAACTGAAGAGATAATGACAAATGTTTAGGCAATACATCTGTTCATTGAAAAAAAAGTTAATATTTTAATAAATATACATTATAATCTATATAAATTATACATCCTTTATTTGCATAATTGTTTGTATGCCTTCTTCAAGCTATAAGCATCAGATTTATGTCCGTCAACCCGTACAGGTAATATTTCAGATGTGGATCTCACTCCCCCAGCAACAGCTAAACAATTTTTAGCCTTAATATGTGCAATCAAATAGACATGAAATTAAAATGGCTTAAACTCTAGAGGTTCCAGAGGGATAGCCATCTGGACTCCACAATTTAGGAAACAACCCAACCTTTTCCCATTAGACCATAGGTCCAGTTCCCATTAGATCATGGGTCCTCAATTAATTGCCACTCACCCCCCCCCCCCCCCCCCCCCAAAAAAAAATCCTGGATCCGCCACTGTGTTTGCATTGTCTGATTCCAACATACATGAAAAGGCATGATTTTTTTAATCATAGGTCTAAAACATAAACCATCATATAAAATTCATTGGGTCTGATGAATAATGTGTAACACTATTAAAATTGATTACCTCTAGTAATAATATTACCAGCACATTAATAAGCAATTAGTATAGTTGCATTCTATGCATAATCAATAGAAACTATTACATGGAGGTTCAAATTATTGCACAAAAATTTGACAAAATAATTTGTATTGTTCAATAAAGCTAAAGATTTATGTGACAACATATCAACATCCAGAGTTATCCATCCTATTAATTGGCTGAAGACAATTATTAATATAGTATGGATATAGTATGTGACAGCTGGTATTCAATTAAATCGATACATTGTCGCTACAATGTTTTCACTGCAGTCATTGCACTGCGTAGCTGTCCTCGATGCAATCAGGAAGGCTCATCCATTCGACCGAACAATCAACGCCACCAAAAGTTGTCGCCGATACTGTGTAGTGATTTTATGGAAACCTTCCTTAACTATCACCAGTCCAGTGGCAGTGCCAGATTTTTTTTGTTGGCAGAGCGACATCCACGACAGGATAAACTAGAGGCCACAAAGTGTCGCCATTGACTATGAATACCACCTTGATTGATATCCCACTAAAGTTTACTTGGAATTGTGATCATCCCCAACCTGTCATGCGAGGGCACACTTCTAATTGGTTCACTTCCGCCTAAGTGTTTCCTGAAGAAAGCTAGAGTATTCCGCCAGGAGTCTTCTTGAGCAATAGCATGCCCATCTGGATGACCACCATATAAAACAACCACATCTACAAATGAAATCCCACCAGGAATTAGTTATTAATGAGAAAAAATGTTAAAATTAAATTACATCATCATAAAACAAAAAACAGTGCATTAATGGGTTTACATACACAGTAGGCAAGTTATCATTACCTCCACCAAGTTGCCATTTGACAGATATGTTAGCAGGATTATGCAAAAACTAATGAATGGATCATCATAAAATTTATTGAAGTGGTACATGTAAGTCTAAGGAAAAATGATTAACAGAGGTCATATATTCACTGCCATTGCCAGTCTGTTTATCTGGTAGCAGGATAGTGCTAAACCTAATAAATGAATCATCATAAAAGTTTGTGGCATGGTACATATAGGTCCATTAAAAAGGCATTACATTAAAAGGTCAAAGGTTAAAATCAAAGAATTTTGAAAAATGAAATACAAATTGTACAAAAACTAAGGACCGGATCATCACAAATCTTAGGAACATTACATAGTGCACCAAGATGCGATTGAACTTTAAAGTGAAAAAGTCAAAGATCAAATTATCCAATGCAGAAAAATGGCTGAACTCTAGCCCTAATTATTACCTTTTCATTACTGTACAGGGGTGGTGGAAGCATTTAGGTATTGGTCTGGCAGAAGAGTCCACACCAACCCTGAGGTTGAGATTTTTTAGGATTTAGCACTTCTATACGATTGGAAATAGCATTCTCAAACTTCAAAAACGATTTTTAAAGTATCATAATTTGACAATGTAAAATGCTTCATTAGGCCGACCGGTCCTCCTTAAACTAACGTTAGAATGCCGCACTTTCGGCGGTAAAGAACAATTAAAACCTCATAAAAAAGTCAACTAATCCGTTTACCCATAATTGAATCCAAGGACACCAGTGTTAAACACTCAGTACTTATCCTTGATAATGTGTTAATCCAATTAATATAGTGAGATAACGTAACGTTAGTTTATCGAGGGCGGGTTGAGCTAATGTTGAACATATGAAGCATTTCGATTTTTATAAATCAAATATTATTAGCTGGGAATTGGTGACTGAGGTTCAGATTTTTTTTAGGATTTAGCACTTCTAGAAGCTTGGAAATAACACTTTCAAATTTCAGAAATTATTTTTGAAGTGTAAACATTTTTACAAGTAACATATGAAGCATTTAGAACTAGAAATAAAATATTATTGCACATGGGATTTCAGACTTACAGGCAAGAGGCTATTTGATTGTTATTGACATTGGCTGCCACTTCTATTACGGTACAGTAATAACATCGAAATACACTGTACCAGTTAGCTAAACTTTGTGTCATCCAGTGGCGGATCCAGAAATTTGAAATTGAGGGGCCCAGGGAGGGACTTTCACAGTAGCAAGCCAAGGACCTCAGCTTCACCAAGGTTGGGGCAGAGGTAAGAAAAAAATTATGATTTTGGCACCTCAGACTTATTCATATTCAATTCATATTCTTGACAGCAATTTGACCTCTGAAAGGTCATTGTTTGTCAAAAAACAAGGGCCTAAGACGACTGAAAAGCGGAATTTCCTTCTTTCGTTCTGCCGAGTAAAATCAATTATTTAGGCGACGTTTGTAGACTGACCAACATGTACCAACGTCCGAATGTCACGCTAGCCTTATCCTACTCTAGGCCTAGACTAGCTAGGATGGTATAGGCCTAGCCTTGAAGGTACGAAGGTCCCAATGAAAAACAACGTCGCTCCTTGATAGCTAATATTGTCTATTTAACATCACAATAATTCATTATTAGACCTATAGTTGTTTTTTGAATTGTACTCCACAAATCTCAGCCGATACCTCGAGTAACGTCTCGTATCTATTGTCGTGTGCTGGCTCACACTTGCGATGTCTCGCACTTGTGATCAAATAACACGCTGGCTCGCACTTTGGCAACACTCTTTGCCAGTCAACTCGCCCCTAGAAAACCCGCCCTTGGAAACTTGCCCCATAAAAAAATGTACACTTCCTAGACCAGTCTTCAAAATAAAAATTGTAACCTTTGGTAACCAACTATATTTTCCACATACATAGAAATTTTTGAAACTTTATTAAAAAAAACCTAAACCATAATTCACCACTATAGACACTTTTGACAAAAATGAAGAATTACGACTTTGTTACCCAATTAGAAGTGTTCTAATATAGACAATGGGTCGTGTCTCATATTATTTGATATATTTTTATTATTCATTATTTTCACTTGACTCGCATAAATAATTTTGTTCGAAGAACATTTATATGCAGTTGTACTTCGCAGCACTTCACTTGCAATTTGCAATTTCTAGTATTAATATAATTTTCTTTACACTGTACATTTAACAAAAGCTAAACATTGTGTCATCCAGTGGTGGATCCAGGAATTTGATACAAAGGGGGCCCAGGGAGGGACCTTCAAAGATAAAGGGTCCAAGAACAGCCCCACCATGGTTGGCTGAGGTAAAAAAAAAAATGATTTTGGCACCTCTAGATGGTGGGAAATGGCACTCTCATACTAATTATATAATTTTCTTTTGTTCTTCATTAATTTATAATTTATATGTTTACAGCGTTTTAGCGGGGCTCACTTAATAATAATATTAATAATTTAACAAAATACGCCACTAAAGTAAAAGTAGAAATTTTTTTTTTAAATTATAAAAAGTATTATTTTAATATAATATTTATCTCAGCAAAAGACGACTGCCTAACCTGCCGGACCACTCCTGCTGCCCAAGCTGTACTTGACGCAGGGTTCCCGGAACGCCGCCCTCAGCGGCGAGTGCGATGCACAACTCAGGGGCAAAAGTGGAACGTGAAATTTGGATATGGTTTTGTAGTCAGATTTGCGAGAAAAACTTCAGCTACCCGTATTTCTTGACTGAGACGTCAGTGGGAGCTGTAATTTGTATGGCAAGGAGATTGAGCAACCCTTCATTCATATTAAGGGAATTTACACCCAGAAACTTTGTAGTTATTAATATTTTGGTTATAATAGAAAATATTCATTTTTTGGTGACGTCACACTCACATTAGTTAGCATGCATACGTCATAAGCTAGATACGTCAACTTTTCCTGGTAAGGCAAACTTTCCCGGCGTGCTTTTATGGATAAACAAACACTACTGCTTTGCACATGGATGCCTTTGCCCAAGCCAGGGCTAAAAGCCGCATTGTTAGCATTGTATAATACTTTAAATAAGGTACCTCTGCAAATGAATTATTCTTATTTATTTATTTTTTCTTATTTTAATTTATTTCTTCCAAAAGTGTACTTTCTATCACATATAATTCCACTGTCTTAGTTAGGCCTAGTCCTAGTCTTATACCTCATCGTCCCCCGCTACACAGTACATCAGCAGCCCCTCCCCCATACAGTACAGACGTTTGCTAGGTAACAACGTGATTGCACCTTCCTTCCCAGGTGTTCATGTAACATTGACATAATTGTTAGCT